GACAATAGATGCTGGAGAGGATGTGGAGAAAAAGGAACACTTTTACACTGTTGGTGGGAGTGTACATTAGTCCAACCATTGTGGAAGACAGTGTGGCAATTCCTCAAGGCCTTAGAAATAGAAATTCCATTTGACCCAGCAATCTCATTACTGGGTATATATCCAAAGGACTATAAATCGTTCTACTATAAGGACACATGCACACGAACGTTCATTGCAGCACTGTTTACAATAGCAAAGACCTGGAATCAACCCAAATGACCAATGATGATAGACTGTATTGGGAAAATGTGGCACATATACACCATGGAATATTATGCAGCAATCAGAAATGATGAGTTTGTGTCGTTTGTAGGGACATGGATGAATCTGGAGAACGTCATCCTCAGCAAACTGACACAAGAACAGAAAATGAAACATCGCATATTCTCACTCATAGGAGGGTGATGAAAAATGAGAACACATGGACACAGAGAGGGGAGTACTAAACACTGGGGTCTATTGGGGGGAAAAGGGGAGGGCCAGTGGGAACGGGAGGTGGGGAGGGATAGCCTGGGGAGAAATGCCAAATGTGGGTGAAGGGGAGAAAGCAAGCAAAACACACTGCCATGTGTGTACCTATGCAACTGTCTTGCATGTTCTGCACATGTACCCCAAAACCTAAAATGCAATAAAAAAATTGACAAACTGTAAGCTAGACTAAGAAAAAATGAGAAGATTCAAATAAATAAAATCAGGGAAGAAATGTTACAGCTGATATCACTGAAATACAAAGAATCATAGAGACTACTATGAACAAGTATATGCCAGTGAATTGGAAAACCTTGAAGAAATAGATAAATTCCTGGGCACATAAAGCCTACCACTATTGAAATGTGAAGAAATAAAAAGCCTGAGCAGGCTTTAAGAAAGGAGATTGAATCAGCAGTTTAAAAGTCTCCCATCAAAGAAAAGCTCAGGACCTAATGGCGTCACTCCTGAATTCTATTAAACATTTAGTGAAGAACTAACACCAAGCCTTTTCAAACTACTTTACAAAGTTGGAGAGAATGCAATTCTTCCAAATTGATTCCACAAGGCCAGCATCATCCTGATGCCAAAACCAGACAAGAACATAACCAGAAAAGAAAACTACAGACCAATATCCCTAAAGAACATAGATGCAAAATTCCTTAACAAACTCCTAGCAAACCAAATCCAATGGCAAATTAAAAAGATTATTCCCCATAACCAAGTGGGAATCATCTCAGGTATGCAAGAATGGTTCAATATACACAAATCAATAAATACAATATACCACATAAACACAATAAAAGAAAAAATATATAATCATTTCAATAGATGCAGAAAAAAATTTGACAAAATTCAACACATCTCTTCATGATAAAAATGCTCAATGGATTAGGTATAGAAGGAATGTATCTGAACACAATAAAGGTGATATAGAACAAACCCACAGCTAATATCATACTGAATGGGCAAATGTTTGAAGCTTTTATTCTAAGATTTGGAAGACAAAAAGGATGTCCACTTTAACCACTTCTATTTAACATAGTACTGGAAGTCCTAGCCAGATCAAGTTCAGCAAAAGAAAGAAAGAAAGGGCATCCAAATTATAAAGGATAAATTGTCCATGTTTGCTTTTGACATGTTATTATATATTAAAAATCTTAAACATTGAATACAAATCTGTTCGAACTAATAAACTAATTCAGTAAAGTTTCAGGTTTCAAAATCAACATTCAAAAAACAGTAGCATTTTTTTTTCTTTACTTTAAGTTTCTGGGATATTTGTGCAGAACATGTTGGTTTGTTACATACATGGGCCATGGTGGTTTGCTGCACCTATCAACTCATCATCTAGGTTTTAAGCCTCACATGCACCAGGTATTTGTCCTAATGTTCTCCCTCTTCTTACCCTTCATCTCCTGACAGGCCCCAGTGTGTGATGTTCCCCTCCCTATGTCCATGTATTCTCATTGTTCAAATCCCACTTGTGAGTGAGAACATGTGGCATTTGCTTTTCTATTCCTGCGTTAGTTTGCTGAGAATGATGGTTTCCAGCTTCATCCATGTCCCTGCAAAGGTCATGAACTCACTCCTTTTTATGGCTGCATAGTATCCCATGGTGTATATATGTCACATTTTCTTTATCCAGTCTATCATTGATGAGCATTTGGGTTTGTCCCAGGTCTTTGCTCAAAAATCAGTAGCATTTTTATACACCAATAGTAAACACTACTTTAAGCAAATTATTAAACAAATGGCACTACTTAAAACAAGTGATCAAGTAATAACATGAGATTTAATGATGAAGACCTACCACCAAGGCACTGGGGACACGAATGACTTAGTCATGGATCCCATCATTGTGAACATGATACTAGGCAACAAGCTTTGTGTCAAATAAATATATCTTTCTGTTATATATTTATTATATTTTAACCATAAGTCTTAATTGTTTGATGAGATAACATTGAGAAAAAATGAAATATGAGAGATTTTAGCATCATCACAACTAATGCTGCTAAACAGAGTTATTAAAGGTGTGGGAATTATTGCATACTTAATTAAAAATAAGATCTCTAAACATAGGGGTAAGTTTATAGTATATACTATAATACAAATTCAAAGTCTGAGGAAGATCTACCTAAAGTAGATACTGTTTTGTCCCCCAAAGAGAAGGGAATCATGATTTAAAACAATAAAGCTTTTTGTAAGTCTCTTTTAATTTTTAATTCATGAAATAGGAAATTAATTTGCTTTTTGACAGAATTCTAAAGGATTTTTGTCAAGACTATAAAAATTTCTTTACACTAAAAATGCTACATCTTCTATGGCATTAGAGTGCCTTTCTGGTAATTTGTAAAATGTTAAAACACAGACACACACACCCACCTAAGAGTATTAAAAATTGTTATAGTAAATCCTATAATTGTCATTATTATTATATAAAAATAATAAATAAATAAATCTCAGCAAACTGACACAAGAACAGAAAATCAAACACTGCATGTTCTCACTCATAGGCGGGTGTTGAACAATGAGAACACATGGACACAGGGAGGGGAGCATACACACTGGGATCTGTTGTAGGGGGCCAAGGGAGGGACAGTGTGGGGGAGTGTGGAGGTTGGAAAGGGATAACATGGGGAGAAATGCCAGATGTAGGTGACGGGCAGATGGAGGCAGCAAACCACATTGCCATGTGTGTACCTATGCAACAATCCTGCATGATCTGCACACTTACCCCAGAACCTAAAGTACAATTAAAAAAAATAATAAATAATTTATGTTGGGAAAACTGAATATCCACATGCAGAGAAATGAAATTAGACTCTTATCTCTCGCCATATACAGAAATTAACTTAAAATGGATTAAATACTTAAATGAAAGACTTGTAACTATGAAACTACTAAAAGAAAGCATAGGAGAAACATTGGGCAATTTTTTGGATAAGACCTTAAAAGCACAGACAACAAACTAAATCAAAAATAGACAAATGTGATATCAATCTACATAAAAGGAAACAATAAACAGAATGAAGAGACAACTTACAGAATGGGAGAAAATATTTGCAACCTATACATCTAACAATCAGTAAATATTAAAAATACATAAGAAACTTAACTCAGCTGAAGTAAATAAATAAATAAATAACCTGGTTGAAAAATAGGCAAAATACCTGAATAGACATTTCACAAAAGAAGACACACAAATGACCAATAGGTATATGAAAAAAAATGCTCAATATTACTAATCAGAGAAATGCAAATCAAAATCACAATGAGATATCACTTCTCCCTAGTTAGAATGCTTGTTATCAAAAAGACAAAGGATAAGTGTTGTCAAGGATGCGGTGAAAAAGGAGCTCTTATACACTGTTGGGGGAGCATTCAAATTAGTGCAGCCACTATGAAAAACATTATAGAAGTTCCTCAGAAAATTAAAAATAGAATTATCATATGATCCAGCAATTCCACTATACAAAGGAATTCAAATCCTTATATCAAAGAGATATCTGCACTCCCATGTGTATTATAACACCATTCACAATAGCCAAGATATTGAGTCAACCTAAGTGTCCATCAACAGATGAGTAGATAAAGAAAATGTGGTACATACACATAATGAAATACTGTTTAGTCATAAAAAAGGGATTGAAATTCTATCATTTGTGATTACACAGATGAACCTGGAGAACATTATGCTAAATGAAACAAGCCAGGCACAGAAAGACAAATACCACGTGATCTCACTTATATGTGAAATCAAAAAATGTTGATCTCATAGAGGTGGAGAGTAAAATGGTAGTTATCAAAGGCTGGTGTAGTAAGACAGGAGGAGGGATGGGGGGTGTCAGCCAAGGGCTACATAACTACAGTTATGTAGGAGAAATAAATTTCAAGAGACCTATTGTACAGCAAGGTAACTATAGTAAATGATGATATATTCTCTCAAAAAAAATGTAGAGAGTGGATGTTATATGCTCTCGCTACAAAAATGATAACTGTGTGAGGTAATATATTTGTTAATTAGCTAGATTTAACCATTCCACAAATGTATATATACCTCATAACATCATGTGATACTCAATAAAAATATACACTATTATCTGTCAATTTAAAAAGATACATAAAACTGGAGTTTTAAAAACTCTTTTTAGAAATTTAATTAAAAATGATTAAACCACCAAAAATAAAAAGTTAAAGAATAAAGAGATATCACATTAAATCCATGCTTGCTGATTGCTTACTGTAATTCTTAGTAGAGAATGCAGTCTGATTATCCAAAAGTAGGAAAAATAATTAAGTTGTTTATGCAATTTTGGAGAATGTACTTAAGCAAAGAGAATGTTCTGCATTTTTGTTGTTAGGATAACAATAAATAAATCTATTATATAGAGAATCAGATCTGAGGTATATATTTCTACAATTATACCCACAGTTAGTGTGTTAGGTCATTCTTACATTGCTATAAAGAAATACCCAAGACTGTGTAATTTATAAAGAACAGAGGTTTAATTAGCTCACAGATCTGCAGGCCTTACAGGAAACATCATATTGGTATCTGTTTGGCTTCTAGGGAGACCTCAGGAAGCTTCCAATCATGGCAGAGGTGAAGGAGGAGCAGGCACGTCACATGGCCAAACCAGGAGCAGCAGAGAGAGTGAGGGTAGATGTGACACACACTTTTAAACAACCAGATCTTGTGGGAACCCACTCACTGTGGTGAGGACAGCATCAAGCCATAAGTGATCCACTCCTGTGACCCAAACACCTCCTACCAGGATCCACCTTCAATGTTGGGGATTACATTTCAACATGAGATTTGGATGAGGACAAACATCCAAACTATATCAGTCAGCTATTTAATTTTTTTCAGAAGATATTGTCTAAAGGTGGCTGTTGGGAAAGCAAGGTTTTCTCTTCCAAAAAAAGAAAAGACACCTTTACTGAAGTTTTTAAAGAAAGTATGTGGATGGTGAGATGGCTTAAAAGGAAAAGCCTAGAGGAAGCAGGGAAAAAGCAAGGTTATTCAGCCATAAAGAAAAAAGCCAAATAGCAGAGCCCTGTTATATTCTGAATTTCTCACCCCAACCCCATTACTACCCACCAAGGAAGGCCCTTTTGTCCCCAGCTAAGCCCCAGTCCCAGGCTTAACCACTACAATGGCTTTATTCAACTACTCTTGCTAATTTCAGTTTACTCTTTGTTTATGTCAGTTTTAGCTTTGTTATTATATAAACATACAAAGTTTTTTTAAACTTTAAGATCACACATTACAATTAGGACAACAGCTTAATGCAAGAATTCTTTTTCTTTACAAGGTCTTACTGCTGAAAAGGTTCTATTATGCACAATGAGGTATACTGGCAACATACAAAGACTACAGATTATATATCCCAAAAAGAAATAAAGCAAAACAGAAACAGAGATCAGCTCCATGCTAGTCACACCATCATGAGTAAGACACATGAGTTCTGAAGCATCTTCATACTCACCCCCAGGAGAAAGCCCAGTGGTTTGGTCTTTTGAGTCTTGAAGTCACTAATGCAGATGCCTTGTGAGCTACACAGCATCAGCTTGAGAGAAGAGCCTTATACCACCCAGCTCTCCTGCTTCTGAGCCCACATTCTGTTCTTCAGTTGCTATGAAGTAATTGCTTCTTCTTCATTATAAATGATATAACAGCAGCCTTGCTCTCCTCTTAACACCAGCGTAAAAATGACACTAACAAAATGTAGACAAAAACACAATGGGAACCGAAACTTTAAAACAAAGACAAACCTGCCACCTCTAGGCTAAGTTCAGTCCTTTATATCTAATTCAAAGGCAGTGTTGTGTGACGTCCCAAGTTCTGAAGTCAGGAAAATGGGCTGGTCTCTGTTGGAGGAGGCAATGAACCAGCCCGGGAAGGCCACAGACTCAAGGGTGGAGGTCCTACCAGTCTTGAGACAATAGAAAAGGAAAGGTTTCATGGGCTTGGGTTGGTCATACAGATCCATGATCTTCTGCTCCTGAAATGTGAGAACAAGTACCCATGAGGAGACACAAGCTGTTTGAGATATTCAGTGTTATTCAAAATAATTCAATAAATATTCCAAAGTTCCAGAAAACCTTATCCATCAGGCCTAGAGAAACACACATTTTGAAGGAGCAGCAGAATAAACATACATGAAATGCTACCTTCCAAGCCCCCATCCTCAAATCCAGAAATGATGTGGGAAGTTTACAAGGAAGAGTTTAATGTACAAGCAGCCACACTTGAACAACAAGTTAGAACTCTTCATACACAAGAGGCTAAGGGGACCCTTTGGAAAAGGAAGAAGTTGGAAATTACCTCCCTTACCAATACCACAATAGTGAGAGCCACTGCCCTGCAAGAACCACTGGTACGACAAAGGACAGCCAGGTTAGGCTATGAATTTCTGACTAATTGTCAAATATATGACAGAGATAAACACGAATGAAAAAGACAAAAAGGGTCTAACAAATCAAAGGATTTGTATCAAAGGAGGAAAATAAATAAAGCAATCAGAAAATGCCTTCTATATTGTATATAAAACTATATTCTATAAGTCTGTATATTCGTATGTACATGCATTATGCATTTAGGTAAAATAAGTATTTCTAAATAAATTGCATGTGTTCAAGATCTCAAGAGAGACACAGAAATGATTTGTAATTCAGTCACCTTCCACTGTGAGTGGGAAATTCTTCTCCCACAGGATTCCTTTACTCACTTAACAGCTTCTAGTTAGTCTGATTCTTTGGGTGGCCAGAAACGTAGGAGTCATTCTTAACATTTCTTTTCTAACCCAGGAGCAAGGCCTGTGGACTCTATTTCCAAATATTTCCTGAATTGGGTCACTTCTTGCACTCCACACACAGTGTCAACCCCAAACCAGACCCCAAACTGTATTCCTCAACATGGAGGAAAGCCCCCAGCAATGCTTCCTCATTTTAAGCTCCCATACCTCCTCCATCATCATCTTCAACCTCTTACCCACTGAGAAAATTGAAGTAATTAGAAGAAAACTTGTACAAACCACCTCATAACCTGGGCTCCCAGTCCACTGCACCCATACCCGCACCTCCCTGCTTGAGTAGGACTCAGTGACAGGTCCCATCTGCACTTGCAACTTAAGAACATCCCTCTAGCTATTCTCCCTGCTCTTCTGTGCTCCATAAATTTTGTTTGCTCTGCTCACTTATTTCCATCAGCATATTTGCTGTCATTTTTACCATCTTAAGTAACATAACTCATTTTCTTACCCACCACCACCACCAGTTTCCTGTTGCAGAAAATTTCTTGCAAACGCTGTCTATATTTGCTGTCTCTGATTTCTTTCTAGTAATTCCTCTCTTTAAACTTACTCTATACAAGTTTTTTCCCCCACCACAGCAACAACACTGCTCCTACCAAAGTCCCCAAAGACCCACCCATTGCCAAATACAATTTTGCAATTCTTAGTACACATCTGAGAACAAAGGCACAACATAAGGGTGACTTAGCTGACAGGACAAAGTAGAAAATGTCATTCTCAGTCCTGATCTTATTGGTCACACTCACAAAAGTGGTTTCCTCCACTTAAAATACTTCCAGAATCTGGCCCACTTCTCCTCATCTCTGCTGCTATCTCCTTGCCTATCTAATCACACCTCAATCACCTCAAAGTCTCCTGAAGGACTTTCACCTTTGCCCTCCACAGTCTAAGATCAAAGAGCATCGAGAGCAATCATTTTTAGACCTAAGCCCCTTCACACCATTCCTCTGTTCAAAACATTCTAATATTTCACATTTCACTCAGATTGCAAGGCTGAGTCCTTGCAAAGGACAGCAAGGCTTTCATGTCTGCCTTTATCTCCCTGGACTCCTTCCTCAGTTCACTCTGCACTCCTTCCTTTGTTCACTCTGCACACCTGTCCTCACTTGTTCTGAGACGTGCCCTCACTGGACACCTGCTGACTAACTTCCCTAGCTCTTTCTCCTCCCTGCTAACATCTCACCTAGGCAATGGTGCCTACTGCACTATTTACCACTGCAGCCTGACCCTGCCTGTGTTCTGGTACTGCTGGTCTCTATCCTGTTCTAACCAGTATTATTTTTCTAGGAAAAGTAAAGACCTCTCATAGCACAAATATACCTACTATTATATTTTCTGTTTGCCATTTTTCTCCTTTCACTAGAATCCAAACCCTGGGTAGTCGAGGCTCTTTGCCATTCTGTGCACAGATATATCTCAAGCACCGACCAGTGCTGGAGGACAGGAAGTGCCCACACATTTGCTGAATTGAAGTGGATTGGGTTGAATCAAATTGAATTAAACTGAAGTTTGTAAAACAAGGACAAACAGTCATTAACAAAATAAAAGAAGAACAAACCAGAGAGCTTGGGAATTAAAATTTCAGGAAATGCTGTTCAAGGATGATTTCCAGAGGAGACAACACTGAAAATGTAACCATGAACTGGCAGAGCAAAGCAAGAAATTCTCCCAGCTGCAACACTAAAATTTTAAAAAGCAATGAAAGGATAGAAAATATAAAAATTTAGATGGGATATTGAAGTAAGATCCATGACTTCCAATGATGGATCAATAGGAATTCCAAAAAGAAAATAAGAGTGAGAATATACTTGAAGAAATCATGGCCAAGAATATATCAAAAGTTAAGGAAGATGGAGCAGTATGAAGAAGAAGAGATGAGAATGACTCCTGGATCGACCAAAGCCCGCACCCCGCTGCATCCAGCACCCAGCACCTATGTCCCTCCGCCATGGCCACCATGCCCAAGAGGAAGGCTGAAGGGGATGCTAAAGGAGATAAAGCCAAGGCAAAGGACAAACCACAGAGAAGAGTCACGAAGTTGCCTGCTAAACCTGCTCCTCCAAAGCCAGAGCCCAAGCCTAAAAAGACCCCTGCAAATAAGGGAGAGAAGGTACCCAAAGGGGAAAAGGGAAAAGCTGATGCTGATGCTGGTAAGAAGGGGAATAACCCTGCAGAAAATGGAGATGCCAAAACAGACCAGGCACAGAAAGCTGAAGGCACTGGAGATGCCAAGTGAAGTATGTGTAGTTTTGATAACTGTGTACTTCTGGTGACTGTACAGTTTGAAATGTATTTTTTATCAAGTTTTATAAAAAGGCAGATTTTTGTTTAACTTTTTTAAAAACTATGTTGTTACCACATAGAACACTTCATTTTTTTGGGGGGGAAAGGAGCTTATGTCACTAATAGAATGTCTCTGAAGCTGGATCTTTGTGGGGAAAACACCTTTCCCTTACAGTTTTGAGAGACTTCTTTTTGGCTCCCAGGAGGAGGGATTCCCTGACTTTGACACACATAGCCACCTTGGCACAAAAGCCTTGTGGTATGGAAAAACAAATTCATTTTTATGCGCTCTTCTCCCTTTCTATCTTTCAACATAGACTTAACTCTCTTAAGCCCAGACATCCATCTGTTAGGACCTGACCCCCAATAACTGGTTACCAGTGTGTCATTCAATCTGGACTTTCCAGTGATGCCACTAAGATGGCACTTGTCAAAAGAGCAGTGGTTCCATTTCTAGATTGTGGATCTTCAAATAAATTCTGAATTTTCATTTCACTTCCTGAAAGTTAGGATTGGCTCATGAAAAGTTGTTAAACAAGATGCTAAATGAAAAATGTCAACCCTCACTCTAAACTTTCCCTGTTCAGAGCATCAGATGAAGACTTCATTGGGTTTTATAGTGGCTTTCTGATTTTTGGTAGTCCACTGAAGAAGGGAGTTTGAAAGTAGTTTCATACTGTTAACAATTGTCTGCCCATATCCTACCTGAAATACCATGACTGTTTAAGGAAAGTATTTTTAATAAAGTTGGATACAGTTTGGCTTGGAAAAAATAAAGAAACAAAGGAAGACAAGGGCCTCAACTTCTGACAGCCAGGATAAAAAGAAAAGTCTATTGCACATACATAACTTAAAAGAAGCTGGAAATAAATATGCTTAGGAAGACAAGACTAGTTCTTTTTTAATTCTAAAATTAGGTATTCAACCAAAGACTTCTAAAAGAAAAGGCTTTTAAAATATTTTTCTTGGTTACTCACTTTTAGCAGCAACGTGGGCTGTTCTCCAACCTCCTCACAATACAGACACATTTCTGGATTCCGGATTCCCAAATAAATGGGATCCCCTTTGCCTTGCTCGAGAGCCTCTGGAAACTTGCATGTGACAACAGTGACAATGACTGTAAAGATAAGAGGAGAGATGGTGTCAGTTTCCTTTTGAAGTCAGAGAAGATTATTTGATTTAGAAGGCAGTATCTGTAAGTGGGTCTGGAAGAGAGCTGAAGAGTGTAATCCCAACTAGACCCACCAAATGGCCAACCCTCCTATTCATTCATTTATTTATTCACTCATTCACCTCATGTGCCAATCACTGCCCTAGTAAATGAGAAAACACAGAGAGCTAAGCAAGCAGCAGAGTCTGCTCCTGAGATTCTCATGCCTCTGCTTGAGCACGTGGAGATGGGAAACTCCTACACCAAGCAGCTCCTCTGATTCTTAGAGAGCTCAGTCCGTTTTGTAAGTTTTTCTCAATGTGATGCTGAAATCTGCCTTCCTGTGGTATTCACCCATTTAGTCATTTCAGGACACCTTGAAGTCATGCAGAACAAGCTAAAGACAGGGCTTCAGGTGACTGAAAGCATCTTTCCTATTCACCAGGAGGCTCCTCCACCACCTATGGCTTCTTCATCGTAGTAGAAAACAAACTTCTCCCTGATGTCTTTTCCCAATTAGGTATGAAATTCTCACCAATTCAGGGGGCCCCCTTGTGAAGTCACACTTTTACAAAAGGCTGGTGCCAGCTTTCCAGCCATACCAGTGCAAATGGTGGTGCAGGCACAGATGACCACTCACCTGGAGTCACACTGCTACTCCTTGGAACTGATACAAGGGTCTGACCCTGAAGGGTCCACACTTGCTGATTCAAATCGTTAACATGCCCAGTCTTAGGTTGGAATGCTAATTTGGGGATGGAGAAAACAAACGAAGAAATATTATAATCAAGGCTGCTTTACTAGACCCAAGGAGAAAAGTATCAAACCCAGGCCCTTTTGTAAGGAAGGTGTGAGGTTTGCATCCCAAAACTGGCAGCACTCACATCACCCAACAGCCCAGTCTTTCTTTCTAGTGAAGTTGTGAGCTCTGTTGAGGAGGGCAAGGGCTACCAAGGGAAGTCACTGGTTTAAGAGGGAAAACCATCAAGACAGAGGGCAATGAGCAGCCTCACAGAACCTGTGTGCCAAGGCCCAGCTATCCTCTTTTGTGCCTGTTCTGTGCTTGTCTCAATGCTGGAGACTGGAGCTGGAGGAGTGACTAAGCAATAGCCCCCACCCTCCAGAAGCCCAGAGTCCAGTGGTAGGTGGGCAGCACCAGGTGGGAAGGTCAGTGCACTGAGAGAAGCAGAGAAGACTGGGGCTTCCACAGGAGACAGCTGAGTGCAGAGGGCCTTGGCCTCCAGAGCCCCATCCCAACAGCACCTGCTTGCTGGATGACCTTTCCTTCATCACCAAGGTGTCCTGGAGTGCCTCTCATAGCGTGGTTGTCTCAGCACCTGTGAGGCAGACATAGTAGAGATGAACCATGGGAGATGTTTCCAAGACCTTCCAGGACACAAGCTTCTCAGGCCCTCATTCTAGACAGGGAGCTGGGAAACCTGGCCTGACACAAAGCTCTGGTCAGAAGTTCTGAGCCACATCTAGTACAAAACTTAAAGGAAGCATCAGCAAAGGGAGAGTAGGTAGAATTTTCCTCCACCCGGAGATCCAGTTAGTATCATAGTGTCTCCTCTACAAGCTCAAAAGCCAAGCATAAAATTTGACCTCAAATAACTCACAGGCACCTGATGCCCATGTCTCCTTTTCTCTGAAGCCTCTACCCCTCCATCAGCATTGTTTTTACCTAGGAGCAGGGGAGGGTCCCATGCCAGGGCTGCTCTGCCAGGATCCCAGAAATTCCCCAGTAAGAGACACACAGGACAAGGCATAGAGCATAGAGCCAGCCTGATGTGGCCTTTCTCTTCATTGAGCCCCAAAGCATAGACAAGAGGAAAGGCTCCAGAGGGTGGGGGAGGAGCCAGCTATTAACTATACCTGGCAAAAAAAGGGCCTTTATCTACAGTCCAGGGGACCGAATTGTGGTTCCAGCAGCTTCCAAGGGTAGTGACAGGCTCTAACGGAGCCTGGGTTATTTATCTGAGCAGAGAGGGAGGCCCCAGCTTCCTGGGTGGGGCATGAGAAATCACAGAAATAGCACAGATATGACCCATCTGGGCTCCCTGAGCCAACCCACACAAAATCAACCACAAGGAAATGAGGTTAATGACAGATCCTAGGTTTCTCAGAAAGGGAAGACTAAGGGACTTCCCCGGAGTTCGGCTCTTCTGCCATGTCATTCTGGGGCTAGGACTGGAAATGCCACACACCCTCATGTCAGGGACTCCATCTCCTCGGACTGGGAGCCTTGCCCTCTGTAGTCAGCCTACAGGCATCCTGTGAGAGCAAAATTAGCCACATGTCTCAGATAAGATCCCTATGGCATTTCTCAACTACCCTACCTAAGGCTGCACGTGAATGGAGAGCCAGGCAATAGAGCTCCCCTACCTAATACTCTTTCAGCTCCATTAATATGGGGAGCCACAGGGACTATGTAGACTTGTCTTTTAACTGAGGAAAGCCTGGTCTCAGGTACCTCCAAAATGCAGTGGACTCTAGAACTGCCTAAGGAAATAAAGAGTTGGGCAGTGATTTCTCCCAAATCTGAGCCCCAGATGCCAGTTTTTGCCCCACCTTTGCTGTAGTAATGCAGGACATTTCTAGATTCCCAATCAGTGGTAATGGTTATTTTTATATCTTGTTTATACACCCCATCTTATCTGCTATAGTCAAGCCTAAAAAATTGCTGAGGTACAAGTTAACTAGAGTGAAGTGAGTTTTAAGAGACAGACTTGAAGCACCAACAGCTTCACCTTCATCTGTCTATAAGGAAGAAAAGTACAAAGAATGTGACAGAATCTTCTAGATAAGCTCATCCATGAGCCCCTCTTTCCAGCCCTGGAAAAAGTCTCCTGACTCAACATCTCTTGCTTTCCACCCCCATCTTCTGGTATTGGAGAAACACAATCCTCTCCTGCCGTGGCCCCAGTCCTATCACTTTTGGCTTATAGTGTGACCCTAGCAGAGGGTGTGGTAATGTCAGGTACACCTTTGTTCAAAGTCAGCCTGAGCCACTGCCACCTCACTTGCATCTCCTCTGCCCAGTTAAAGATCACTTCCACTATGCATCAGTAAACTATCCCCTTTCTTGGGATGCTCACCACAAAACAGCATGCAAACTCCCCATTATTTGACCCCCCCAAATCCCTTAAGCCTGAGTTTCCAATGGAGAACCCTCTGAAAGCAGAATCCATGCTAGGAATTGCAAACTGAATAAAAGGACCTTGGTACATACATTTTGGAAGGCCAAAGAAGATTAAGGGATTGCTGTGGTATCCCAGATAATAACAGCCTCAGGAAGGAAACAAAATAACCTAGGGTCTCAAAGGAGGGCTTTTGTAGGACTTATCTTCAGATGAGTCAGGGATGGGGGGTTCTCAGACAAATGATGCTCATACCTCTGAAAAGAGAGTGCAGTCTGGTGGATGCTTGGTGCGTGAAGGTGAAGGGAGGGGTCACCAAGAAGATGCTCAGATGATCCAAGGAACACAACCCAAACAGCTGAATTTTCTTTGATTCAAAAGCTGGTGGGTATAGCCAGAACTTCCCATGCCCAGATGAAGCTTGTGAAAACCTACATAATAGGCTGACTTGTGTCCTTTTCAGCCTCAGCCTTTTATTCCACTTGGTCCTGACCCTTCAACAGCTTCCAGGCACTCAGAGAATCCAGTGCTTCCTAAAATTCCCAGCACTCAGCAATCATCCCGAAGTCTCCAGTTTAATTGTTAGTGTGAATAAGTACCAGAGAAATTGCAGGGAATAGGAGTGATGATGATAACAGGGGAGAACTGAATCACCACGGCTGATCAGTAAAGAGCAGAGAGCACATCTACTGAAGAAATGGCCCAGAACGTTTACCTAAAAGTGGAAGGGACAGATGTTATGATTACATTATGCCCTGGCTGTACTTCCGAAAACAATCAATATTGATTCTGGTTATAAAAAGTAAAGGTATATATATATATATATATTACATTTTATTTATTATCATTGATTGTTTTATTTATTATCAATGATTTATTATCATGAGGAACAATGACAATGATGTTTATCAGTAAGTGTGGCTTGAATTTAATTACCATAAGTGCTGACAAGGCCAAATTTCCTAGATATGAAAATGATTGTAAGAAAACACTTAGTCCAGATTCTAATTTCCAAGCTTTATGACACTGTCAATCTACATTCATTTGGTAATAAGCCCTGCTGGCTAGTTTGTTCTCTTAACATGCTCATGACCTTATTAAGTTGAGGGAACATCAGTGAAATGCAGGTAGGGTAAGAGAACTTCATTATTGACCACCACTACAATCTCTATAATCTGTTGTTATATGCTCAGTCTCTACAACACCTTATTCATGAAACCAGGCAGACAATCATAGCAAAGCTGAGGGAGCCATATGGAGCAGTAAAAGTTATCAGTCTCCACCTTTGCCAACCATAAAAAATCAACTGAGTAGTAGAACTAAACTTATAATCCATAACCCTAATTCCAAATCAAGACCTCTCTGTTGAAGTCATAGGTCTTCCTTGGGGGCTCTACAGGGGGCCAAAGCCATGTGGCCTATGACATATTAAGGGCTCCCTACAAGTAGACTGGCAATCTGGCCTGAGGATTGCCACTGGAAAGAAGTTGGCGTTCACCTCGATTAAACTGGTGGGGCACCATGGCGTATACCATGAACCACAGAGACCAGTGTGGAGTCATTTGTACTCCAGTAGACTTGTGAACAAGGAAACTCTTGGCATAGCCTCTGTCTAAAGCCTCTACCCAATGTAGATGGAATGATGTGTTTGGACATAGCCCAAAGCCTTTGCTCCTCCACATAGCCCAAGCCCATCGAAGACTTGCTTCCTGTGAGCTGATCCATTACATCTCCCTGAAGCTGGTTTCCACAGAACCCCAGACTTTAGCACATGGGCCAACATGCAATTTAACAGCTTCCTTTTCCTCTTGAAAATGAAGGACAGAGTAACAAAAATGACCCCAAAGCTACTCATTAAAATGGCAGTAATAAATAGAAAATTAAAAGAGTTAAGAAAAAAGAACCAAACCATATAGGACTATTGTAAAGGTATATTTCTCTAAATTTAAAACAAGTATTGGTTACATTGCCATTTATGTGCAACAACAACACAAAACTAAGGCAATAAAAAGCCTTGATCAGACAGCCCATAGTGCAACACTTAAGGAAGGGGTCCAGGTTCAATGCCTAGAGTTTGAAATTCCTGGACAAAGAGCCAAATGACAGAGAACCCTTAGCCTTTTTTGCCCTAAATCACACAAAATGCAAAATCCATGAAAAAAGAAGATGATAAATTGAATGTCACCCACATTTTAGAATTTTGGACAAAACACATCATGAAATGAATTTTAAAAGACAAACTATCCAAGAAAACATTTGCAACACATCTAAAAAATAATATACAAAGTTTGTAAATAATTCTTACTAAGCAGTAGGAAAAGTGCAACTAATTCCACAAAAAAATGAGCAACTGTCATAAACAGTATTTTACTGAGTAGAAAATATAAGTGTCCAATAAATGTAAGTAGTTATAGTAAACCACACTGGTAATTAGCAAGATGCAAATCAAAGCAATACTGAGATTCAGTTTCCACCCATCAGGAAGGCACAGATTAAAAAGATGGTAGACAATAGTGTGAGGAAATAGATTCATTCAACGCATGGATGGCTGCGTGAATCATTGCAGACTTTTTGGAAAGAAATTTTGCAGAGGCTATTAAACATTTTAATGGGTGTACCCTTGACCTCATACCTGTACTTATAAGAATCTATTAATTAAGTTATTTTCAGCTTCAAAACCTGAAAAATTCTATTCAAAGTGGATAAAACAATAAAAATATTTACTAGGTTACATAATTGGAAGTCCAGAATTATTGATTATCGGAGTTGCTGATCTGATAATTCTTTTTTTTTTTTTTTTTGAGATGGAGTTTCGCTCTTGTTATCCAGGCTGGAGTGCAATGGCGCGATCTCGGCTCACTGCAACCTCCGCCTCCTGGGTTCAGGCAATTCTCCTGCCTCAGCCTCCTGAGTAGCTGGGATTACAGGCACACACCACCATGCCCAGCTATTTTTTTTGTATTTTTAGTAGAGACAGGGTTTCACCATGTTGACCAGGATGGTCTCAATCTCTTGACCTCGTGATCCACCCGCCTCAGCCTCCCAAAGTGCTGGGATTACAGGCTTGAACCACTGCGCCTGGCCAGATCTGATAATTCTATGAGGTCAGCAAGGGTCAGCATTTTTTTAAATTCTCTCTGGCCTTAAGTTTAATTCTTAACTTAAAGCCAGGTTTCTCCAAGGCCATAAGTTGGCTGCCTGTGTCAACCAAAACTGTGTGCTCAGTCATTCCCATCTTGTAGAAAGAAAGGAATGTCTCTCCTATGACTATCAAAGTCTTTCTGGTCTGTTTGAGCCAACTTGGGAGTCATGCTGTGTCAATCGGGGTCCTAACGAAAAACAGATGACACGTTCAAATTTGGCAGTTGGAGGTAAATGTAATGAAGGAGTTATTTATAAAGATATGGGTAGAGTACAGGAAAATCCCAAGGCAAAGTACAGAACCTCAGGCTACTTAAAGTGGGGTACACCTCTGGCCACCCCTAGGCCTGAAAAGACAAGAGGAAGAAATGGTTACTAGCATCGAGAGAGAGAGAGAGAGAGAGAGAGAGAGAGAGAGAGAGAGAGAGAGAGAGAGAGAGAGAGAGAGAATAGGGCCACTTAATAGCTGTGGCCTTCATCACGAAATAGCCTGCAGTGACCTCATAAGAAAGGAACCAGGGCACACAGTCATGAATGGCTTAGTGACGTTTCATAGTGCAAACATCATAGAGTGTGCTTACACAAATCTAGATGGCACAGCCTACTAAATGCCTAGGCTACATTGCATAGCCTATTGTTCCTGTACAAACCTGTACAGCATGATACTAAAGCAGGAAGGGCCACATGAAACAAACCTCTCAAATACCCAACTGGGAAAAAAGGGGTGATTTATTCGGCCGGGAGCAAGGCTGCATAGTTGCCTAACAGTCAAGCTGGAGCTCACAAAGAAAGTCCCTGCCCTTTTAGAGGCTTACAGCTCTAGAAATTACATGTGAAAGGGTCTTGGGCTTATAACTTTAGAAATTACATGTGAAAGGGTCTTGGTCCATGAAGTAGGCGTGGAGTGGGGGTTTGATCCTGTTTAAGTAAAAACAATGCCTTCTGGAAAGATTCCTCTGCACCATGCTTGCGATCTATAGGGGGGCTATTAAGGTGGCGCCTGGTCTGCCAGCCTTTACTTCTCCTAATGAAATGCAGTGTAGAAGTCGAGGGGGAGGTGGTCTTAGATGCTTAGGTCTCCTTCCTCAATACTATACTGAATACTTCAGGCAAATGTAACAGAACGGTAATGATTTGTGTATTTAAACATATCTAAACATAGAAAGAATACAGTAAAAATATGCCATTATAATTTTTATGGAGCCACCATCATCTATGCAGACTGAAATGTCATTATGTAGCAAATACCCTGACCTCATTTTTCTTCCTGATATATAATAATATCTGTTTTGTGATCCTAAATGTCTCAAAATTGAGTCACCTGTGACAAATGACTCAGCCTACATTGAAATTGCTGACCCCTCAAAGTGATAAATGCATGCATCTGAGGGTAAATGTCATACCTGCTGTGGTCAGGCACTCAGTCCAAGACTGAATGAAAAGCAAAGCCAAAGGCTGTGGGGATCATGGCTATGTACACTCCTGTGGAGGGCCTTAAAAACCAAAGAGAAACAGGCCATGGCGAGTTACCTGTAGAAGCTCTGCTCATGAGAATTCCGAGTCCTCTTTTCCATCTGGCATCACCACCCGGAGGCCCACTGGGAAAAGAGCAGCGACAGCCACCTCTCCCCTGTCCCCCTGTAAAAGATATTTGCATGATTGTTAGTGTATGAAAGCCTTGCAATAAGCCATGAATTTGTAAGCAATTAATTGGCCACTGAGTCACTGTGAAACCTCTTTTCCTCACCTCCACTCCCATTCGAGTTAGCACAAGTAGGCTGACTTGAACCTGATATGACACTTGCCATTCTCCAAGTTCCTTTCAGTACTCCCCATTGGCCAAACCCAGAAGCCAACGGCAACCAGAAACCAGAAAGCAAGGAAGCCCATGGATGCAGGTCAGCCTCCTGGGCAGACAGCCAGGTGAGAAGCATGGAGAGCAGGTTTGTAAGGGTAATTGGAAGTTAACCAGCATAGTCCATGCCTCTTGCTCCTCAGATCCATATTTCGTTTTTTCCTGAATAAGAAATTTGTGTTCCCTCCCACAGGTGAAATTCTGAATCATCACATTAGGTCAATGTAATCATATTCCTATGTGAAACTTCTTAAGCCACTCCCAGTGTTACTCAAGTAAGGTGGTTAGAGGAAAAGGCAGGGATAGGGAGAAAACAGTTAAATAGTAAATCTCTACTCCTTGATTCTGTATTTACTCACCAAATCCAAGTTTGGTAATCATAGCTGCCTTCTTCTACCGCCCACCCCATGTTCCCCTTACCCTCTGCCAATACCTTGGCTGGATGCTGTTCTTCACCTTATGGGTGAGTCAAGCCTCCATTTCTGTGCAATCCAGGTCCTCAGTGCTCTTCTTTATTGGATGCTTCAATTTTTCCATTGACTGAAACTACCAGACAAAGGAGAAACAAGAGATTCCCCAGAGTAACAAGACATACTCCAGAGCAACTCCTGTGCCCCAAACGTAGTCCTATTTACCTCTACGGAGTAGCAGCAATCCACTTCTTCCCTGAGTAATTATGATCAATCAGCCCAGCCAGTAAAGTGAACCCTTTCTGCCAATTTATATAAAATCAAATACTGCACGCTCTCATTTATAAGTGGAAGCTAAACAATGGGTGCATATGGACATAAAGATGGAAATAACAGACACTGAAAATTCCACAATGGAGTGGGGTGGGAGAAGAGGAGAAGAGCAAGAGTTGAAAAATCACCTGTTTGGTACAATGTTCACTATTAGAGTGATGGATACACTAGAAGCCCAAACCTCACCATTATGTGATATACCCATGTAACAAACCTGCACGTGTGCTCCTTGAATCTAAAATAAAATAACAAAAAAATTGAAAACAATTGTAATGATCTACTGGCATTCTCCACAAACCATGTAGTATCTGCAGTAGCAAAGAGGCAAATTCAGTGAGGATATGAAATGAATACCCTAACATCTTTCAAGTCTGTGATGGGACACTAACTCTAGTCGCTCCCCCATAGATGGAGTTTTGCTTTGGGTTTCTGGTTTATCATCTTGGCAGAGGGTCAGGAGAAATTCTAGGGGCTTCCCCTTAATCCTCTCTCCTTAACAACTTCTACTTGATAAGAAGGAACCCAATGTGGACATGCTGCCAGTCACTAACTTTATCTTGTCTCATTGTGCATATTGAGCCCTCAGAAACAATCTCAGGCTGCCTCTTCAGACAAAATCAGACCTGGAGTCCCTCTGTCTCCTGTGCTTTATCATCCTCTGCTGTGATTAATGGACCATTTTGGCATTTTTTTTGCCCCCGGAGATTTCCATCAATACAGAGCCAGTATCTGAAACCCCCAGATACTATTTCACTCTCCCAGTACACAGCCCTGATAAATGGCCATTAAGTATGTCTGGGGAAGGCTTGGGGAAAGATTCTTACTATATGCCAGTCACCATGTATTAGTCTGTTCAGGCTGCCGTAACAAAATATCACAGGCTTGGTGGCTTAAAAAACAGAATTTCATTTCTCACCGTTCTGGAGGCTGGAAGTCCAAGATCAAGGTGTTGACAGGTTTGGTATCTCCTAAGGGCTCTCTCCTTGGCTCACAGGTGGCCACCTTCTCTCTGTTCTCACATGACCCTGTGTACATCCCTGGTGTCTCTTCCTCACATTATAAGGTCATATTGGATTAGAGACCCACTCTTATGACCTCATTTTACCTTAATTACCACTTGAAAGGACCTATTTCCAAGTAGTCATATTAGGGGTTAGGGTGTCAACATATGAATTAAGAGGGGGACACAATTCAGACCATAACATGCCACTATGCAAAGTTCCTTCTGAAATGGACCTGGACTTCATCTTAGTCAAAGGAATCCATGGCTTTGATCTTCCTTAGACCTGCAAACTGGGTAAATAGCCATACATTTCCACTACAGCAATTTGAGTTAAGTTTTCTGTATGCCACACCTGAAAACCTTCCTCCCATATGTGTTAAGCAGCCCCTTAGAAGCTTTTTCATGTATTTCATTTCTACAGACCCTGAGATGAATTTTTCATTGCCACAGGGCCCTGAAGTTCAAAATACTCTGATTAGTAACCTGCCCCTGTGGTTTACTGTGATCACTTCACTCGCCTTGTTTATGATGAGAGGGGCCACATCTGGCCTCTTCGACTCTGCAATCCTGTTAATTCCCATCTGAGCTGAAAACCTGTTGCAGCAACCACACCACCTCCAGCCTAGAGAGGGAAGCTAACAGTGAGCACTCCCAGATGCTGGTGTGCTCCTCACCAATACACCTCTTAGTCCCTTGGTCATTCTGAGGTGTGTGTATAATGGACACTGTGTGGATTATACATAATAGATGGACTTCAACATCCTCATTACTGAGTTTCCTGCACAGAAATCACTCAACCTTAGCTACATGTGAAAATCATCTAAAGATATTCTTTTTTCTCTTCTTTTTTTTTTGAGACAGCATCTTCCTCTGTCACCCAGGCTAGAGTGCAGTGGTGCCATCTCAGCTCACTGCAACCTTTGCCTCCCAGATTCAAGCAATTCTCGGGCCTCGGCCTCCTGAGTAGCTGGGACTATAGGCACTCACCACCACGCCTGGCTAATTTTTTATGTATTTTTAGTAGAGACAGGATTTCACCATGTTAGCCAGGATGGTCTCCACTCCTAACCTCATGATCCGCCTGCCTCAGCCTCCCAACATGCTCGGATTACAGGTGTGAGCCACCATGCCTGGCTACCTAAGGATATTCTTTAAAACCCTCTGTCCACATGGCAACAGAAACTACTTAAATAAGCATCTCCAAGGGATCACTCAAGTATCAGTGTTTTTTTAAAGCTCCAAGTTTAAGGATCATTACATTATATCAAAGAAATGATGGTATTTCAGACTTACTGGCTGTAAACCACCACCATGTCTAAACTTTCATTAGTCGACCTAGCAGACAATGAACTAACATCACCTCCACACACTCAAATCAATTCATTGCATCCCCAGATGGGCCCACCCCTGTTGACAAATTCAGCCCAATCTTGGTCGAATACATTTACAATTTATTTCCATGAACACCACCCAGCTGGCAAGTTTCTTTACCTTTTTCGAATTTAGGCCATTTCTTTTCACAGCAGCCTTGTAAATTCCCTGTTAGTGCTCTATGGGGGACATGAGGAGACGTTGTATTAGCCTGTGGGCAACTTGGCTCAGGTGCAGACACAGAAACGCTTCACATATGGTGGGAAAGGAGAGTGATTGTCTACCTTGGTTGTCAATGGAGCCTCAAGGGCACGTGAAGGTTCAAAGTTTTCCATTCATATGTGTGTGATCAAATGTCCATATATGGTGTCTCAGAGTTGATGCCTTCCCCATCAGTGCACTGACCTCAGCATAACAGACCTGGCAGGTTATGTTCTCAATAAGATAGTCACAGTTTTCAATTTGTCTTTCTCTCCTGCATGCCTTCTAACCTGTCCAAAGAAGCCAGCTGGCTCCATCATCTGTAAAATCACCATTGTCACCAGAGCACTTGACTTCCTGTTGCCCTGCAATCCACCTGCACTTTATCTCATGCCACCATGATAATGTAGTGTTACTGCATTTTACATTCAGTTATAAGACATGTCACATTCATTTACCTAAATCAAATTAATCTGCTCACTCACTCCCCCTCAGTGACCAGCCTATAAAAGGGAAAGTCAATTTCAGTCATCACTGGGGTTCTCTCTACTACTAGAAAACTGAGGAAGGGTCTGGAGTCCACAGTGGTTAACATCATTGCCTTTATTTTTCCTCCTACTCAAATTCACAAAGAGAGGTCCTCACCTTTGCTATCAAGACCAGAGGGTTTGGTTCCAAACTTGAAGGCCAATGCTCCCCCAATTTTTCACATCATTTCAACATGGGGGCAAACTGGAGGGGATTCAAGAATGGTGGTATAAGTTTTGTGAAAAACTGTATTCCTTTTTAAAATTCAAATACAAAGTATTATGAAAGCACTAAATTTATATAAATTTAATTTATATAAATATTCCAAATACTTTTATAAATTTTCAATGAGAAACTTGAGATAGCTTCTGTGAGATATTTATTTTAAAACAGATTTTACACTTAAAATGCCTAATCAAGACTTTTAAACAATGATCTATCTCATTGTATTCTTGGATGCCACCATCAATAAGAAACTTTGTTCACACAAGTAAGTGGTAGCAAATGGCAGGGTGTTCATCACTTTTTTCCTGATAAAGTCTGTCTTGCAACTACTCTGGATGGTTTGATACATTTAAATTGTACTTCCAAGAAACAGTTATCCTTTGAATCTATGCTTCTTTCCTGTCTTTTATCAAAATATATAATGTTACCCTTTCCTGTCATTGCAGCCATACAATTAGTACACAGATTCCAATAGAATTGTAATATTTTATTCGTTTCAGAGTTTCAATATTTTATCACTTTCAATACATCATATGCAGGAGTTTTATTTGGTATTTTCTTACAGAATAAATGATGTGCTTCCAAGCATTTCTTTTCAATAATTCTAATCAGTGTTATTAACTGAGTAATACTAATATCTGCTTATTCATAAATTCACAGGAAATGCTTTTTTACTTATTAGTCGTTAGAATTCTATTGCTTGTATAAACAGCTTTCATGATGGCTTTGTGTCCAATAGCACTATTGCAAAATGGCAGCTTTTTCTTGTTCCTTTGCTTCATTGGTCCCAAGCATGGTACCAACAACTACCACACAGACTGGTAACTGAGCAATTTTGTCATGTGCCTTTAGCTATTAATGGTAGCACTCTATTACCAGCATCTTAAGCTCAGTTTCATGAAAGAAATGTGTTTCTTATTTTGTACTTGCAGGTGCATTTTAAACTTATAATCTTCTTATTCATACTTTAAAATTAAAATAGAGTAATAGAACCCATAGAAGGAAATAAATACTCACTAGTCTCTACTAATATAAATAAATAGTTAAATAAATAAATGGGGGAAGAAATAGCTCCTCTTTACAGAAAACTTTTGATTTATAAATGAAGAAGGAATTTGGGAAATACAAAGTTACCATTAAGCAATCACAGTAATAATCATTACAGAAAATATCTAACAATAAATTCCAAAACTAGTAGGCAACAGTTTGAGGAGATACAGGATATTAACATAGTCTCAAAATCTCTCATGATATTTATAAATTACAAAAGGAAAAATAACAGTATAGTGAAGAAACTCAGCAGATACCACCTTACCCAAGTGATCAAGGTTAACATCACCAGCAATACGGCTTGTTGACATACTGTACCCCAATCTGGTATACTGATAAGGACATATGACTACTGCAGTATTCTAACCAAAAGCAGAATCCTAATGCAATTAAGGAAAACATCAGACAAACCTGTTCTGAGAAACGTTCTATAAAACAACTAACCAATACTTTCAAAATTGCCAAGGTCATAAAGACAAACCAGTGATGGTCACAGACTGGAAGAGACTAAGGAGATACAATAACTAAATGTATGAATGGAACCGTGGGAGCCTTGATTGGATCCTGAAACAGAAAAAATACATTAGGAAGAAAAACTGGTGAAATTCAAACACATTCTGTAGTTTAACGAATACTATTGTACCAGTATTAATTTCCTGGGTTAGATCACTATACTATGGTTAAGTTTTTAACATTAGAGAAATCTGGGTGAATGGTATATTCACCGAGAACGCCACTGTTCATTCAACATTTTCAGTAACTATTATTTCAAAATGAAGTTTTAAAAAAAGAAAACATAATGAATGCATTATAGTAAACTGCTAGAGTTGGTTTGGCATATTGATTGTTTTGTTAATTTTGCATGCAAATAAGATATTTAGGCTAAAGAAGAGAAGAATTATCAGGATAGGTAGATCCAAACTGAGAAATTCTTTAGTATATCACCTAATTGGTGATTTAAATTTTTAATTTCTTCTTGTTTTTCTCCAAATAAATCAAACAGTGGTCATCTTATAAATCAGAGACTCCCCAGCTTTAATCAAAAGTTGTCTATTATACTGGCCAGAAAATAAATATCCATAAAACAATATGTCTATGTACATATAAAGTACATAAAGGCCTTTATGGCTTCAGATAATTCCTAAAAATTTAGATTTTCTCTATTCTTAAGGATGTTTCAAAGCAAGTCACATAAAATATTTGAAAAACAAAGTGTAATAACAAATGTGCTTAATTCAACAATAGAATTTCTAAACTATTCACAAGATTTAAGTACAATAAGATTTTGGACAATGTTTAAAAAAATAAACAATATTCTGAAATAAATAAATGAATTGATTTAATGAATATGTCTCTCTACCTACTCTTCCTTTCCAAAATTGACTGAGCTTTTTGGAGACCTTTAGAATAAGTTTATTGAGTTTCTTTAAAAACTCAACTGGAATTTGTACTGGGATCATATTGAACTTATAAATTAATTTGGGAGTAATATGAGCACTTGATAATACAGTTGGCCATCTGTACTCATGGGTTTCGCATCCATGGATTCAACTAACTGTGGATGAAAAAGTATTTGGGAAAAAAAGAATGGCTGCATCAGTACTGAACAAGTATGTGTTTTTTATTCTTGTCACTATTCCCTAAACAATACAATATAACAACTATTTACATAGCATTTATACTATATTAGGTATTATAAGTAATCTAGAGATGATTTCAAGTACATAGGAGGATGTGCATAGGTTACATGCAAATACCATGCCACTTTATATAAGGGCCTTGAGCATTCTCAGATTTTGGTATCCATGGCAGTCCTGGGATAAATTCTCCTGCAACATTTCCATTTGTTCAGATTCTCTTCTATATCATTTTTATATCAGAAAATCTATGTAAGATTTTTTAATGTGTTCATATAGGTTTTGTGTATTTTTGGTTGTTAATCCCTAGATATATGCAGTATTTATTACCATTATGAGTAGTATTTCTTTATCATGTATTCTAGTTGGTTACTGCTGACAGAGAGAAATGTTGCTGGTGTTTCTAAGTTACCTTGTTTCTAACAACCTTATTAGTTCTAAATAACTGAACTCTTATTAGTTCTAATAGTTAATCTTTCTTTGTTCTGATAATATAATCTGCAAACTATGATCATTTTATATCTTTCTTTCCAGTGTTTACATCTCTCAGTCCTCTTTATTCCAAAGTATTTTCCAGGATCTCCATTACAACATTAAATAGTAATGAGAACTTCTGTCTTGTTACTGATCTTGAAGAGAATAAATTTAAATTTTCTCTGTTAGATTTTATGCTTGATATATATTTGTGATCTATAGCCTTTCACAGGTTGAAGAAATACTTTTTTACTACTAGTCCTAATTTTAAAAAATTGTCATAAATAGATGTTAAATATTATCAAATGCTTTTTATGCATCTATGGAGATAACCATATGGCTTTTTACTTATTTATTAATGTAATGAATTAGGGACCAATTTTCTAAATGCCAAACCTTCCTCGTATTTGTAGGGTAAATACAAATCCTACAGGATCACAAGAATACTTTTAATACACTGTTAGATTTGAAGAGCAGACACTTTATTTAGAACATCTTTAGTCACGTCCATAAGTGAAATGGTACTATATTGTCTATAACTATTACCTTTTTCTGGTTCTGAAATCAAAATTATACTCACCTCATACAGTAAGTCGAGCAACTTTTGTTCTTTTCTTTCTGAAACAATTTGTGTTGTTGTTGAAAGCTTGATAATAATCATCTGCAAAATTATCCCCGTCTAGGGCTTTTAGGAAAAGGAGACTCTAGAATGCCATTTCCATTTCTTTGTTATGTACTGGCCTCTTTCATTTAGGCTTTCAAATTATTGAGAGCATTTTTTTACCACACTCTTGTTTTATTTTGTGTGTTGGTGTTTTGTTTTGTTTTGTTTGATTCTCCTGTCTCAGCCTCCTGAGTAACTGGGATTACAGGTGCACACTGCCATGCCCAGCTAATTTTTTGTATTTTAGTAGAGACAGGGTTTCACTGTGTTGCCCAGGCCGGTCTCAAACCCCTGAGCTCAGGCAATCCACCTGCCTCAGACTCCCAAAGTGCTGGGATTACAGGCATGAGCCATTGCACCCAGGCTGTTTTTAAATATCTGTTGATTCTGTGGTCTTGCCAGTGCCCTAATGTCAAACAGAACATTTGAATAAATGGCTCTTTTCCTAAAGACACCCGCCTTTTCTTCGCTAAATGACTCTAATATGGGACAACAAGGGCTGACCCAGAGATAAAACTAAGTGAAAAACTGTATACAGCATGTTCAAAATCACTCCTCTGATTCAAAAACATTGCTATTGCTAATGAGGTGACCTCCCCAACCCATGTGTTTTCTTCAATTTAACTGACTGCTCTCCTGAAAATAGCCTTCTAGTGAACTCACCCTACTACTTGGTCATATGTAGGTAGAAATGCCTGAATCTTGGTTAGATTCTGATTAGAAGCCCCAGCACTATCCACATTTTAGAGTTGAACAAATAGGAGTGCAAAAAGTTTATCACTGTCAGGCAAACTTTCCACTTTTCCTAGTCCCTGATTCTTTCCTTGACCCAGGAAATATCCTGAGTGGAGGATAGTAAGACAGGTGGCTCAAGGGGACCCTGAGAGACAAGTTTCTAGAAGGATATTGCATATTTAAAGAATTAAAAGGAGCAGAAAGCTGGACCAAATCTTCTAATCACACAACAAACCAGGGACTTAACCTGGCTGGCTCAGTTCATTTTGAAACCATTCAAAAAGGAAGAATTTGGGGGCAGTAAAAGTCAATGTGAAACTATTATTTTGAGAAGAAATTCACTTCAATTTAATATGTACCAGTACCTCACTTATCTTACCCAGATAATTATATCTGTTCATTCCATCATTCATACATGTTTCCAACTGGAATGATCTAATACATTGTTATGTAAAGCGTGGTCCCTGTGTTAGAAGTGCAGAATGTCAAGCCCCACCCCAGACCTACTGAATCAGAATCTGCATGCATTTTTAATATGACTCCTAGATGATTTATACATGGAGTTTTTAGAAGCACTACTCTAGAACCCATCTTAATCCATGAGTTGCTATGAAAGAAACTTATTCAGGTGGCCATACATACTGTGTGCAGAGGGCAAGGCTGCACACAGAGACATTTTCCTGGAAGATGAAGGCGGCCTCAGGGATGGGAAGCTGAGGCTTACATTGTTCCATATCATTGCTGTTAATCTCTCTGCACTATTTCCCCAAATCCCAACTTAGGAAACAAGAATGAAACCCTATAGAAGTCACTTTACTTCTCTGTGCTTTGGTTTATTTACCTGTAGCTGAGGAACCTGGAGTTGCTCATCTCTGTAATCACTTAGAGCTCAAACTGTCAATGATTCTAAACAACCATGATGCAACTCAATGACTCCCAACTCTCAGTAACTGCCACTCTGATTTTAGTCTTCATCAACAGAGATGAAGGTTGTGATATAAGCAGCCATTACTCCATTTTACCATTCTGTGCTGTCACTGGTCCATTATATTTAGGTTTCTGCTACCATAATGCTACATAACAAACCCCAAACGTTAGAGACTTATACTTGTTTATTTCACTCTCAGATCTACGGGTGGCTGCAGTTCAATTGACCTCATCTGGGCTCAGCTGTCCTTCAGCCTTTGAGTCAAGTTCACTATTCTCCATGTTTGTATCCTAGGATGTGGGCTAAAGGTACAGTCCAGGTTATTCTTTCTTCAGGGCCAAGGGAAGGAGTTCCAAGAGGGCTGGCATAGGCTTGCCATGGTTCCCAAGGCCTTAGCTTGGGACTGGCTCCCAGCCACTTCTGCCCACATTCCCTTGGCAAAAATGTCACATGACTAAGCCCAAAGTCAAAAGGACAGGAAACTACAGCCCATCAATGGGGAAGAGAAGCCATAGCAAGAGCAGAAGAGAAGGAGTCTTCATAGGCAAATAATACAATCTAACCATTCTGACACTCTACACACACACACACACACACACACACACACACAGCATAGTCACAAAGTAAATTAAGAATCCTCACAGGTAAAGTGTACAATCCACCCATTCTGACACACACACACACACACACACACGCACACACACACGCAGGGCATAGTCATAAAGTAAACTAAGGAGCCATCAGGAACCACCTAATATCCTTGTGGGCTTCAGTAACTTATATAGACACAAAATGGGGATACAGCTGGGAACACTGGCCAACTCAAATGTGAGAATCAGATTACTTCTGGACATGCCTGGTCCAGCTATCTGTGGACTCACTAAAAGCCTTCTCCAGAAGGATCCAAAGAGACTTCCAAGAGAAATCACTCTAAATGAAGACAAAACAAGGCTTGGTGAGGTTAATCCAGTGACAGCATCTCAGTTATTAAATCAAAGAAGGGATTTTGACTTTACTATGATAGCTGTAACTTGAATTTGCATCCTGGAGCAGCTCCCATTGGCCTCCCATCTAAGCATCCCTTTCCAACTACACTCTGGCCACCATGCAAGGTGGTGATGTGAAGACTCATGGGCCTCTGGCCCCATAGCTGGCGAGTCTCTGCAGAGCAGCAGCAGCAGCAGCCTCAGCAAAAGCAGAGGAACAGCAGGAGTGGACTCATTGTGAGTCTAGGTCCATACTCAAAGAGGGGGCACTGTACAGGGCTGAAAGGTAATGCCATCTGTAACCCATAGGCTGGTGAGACCTGACATGGAATTCTTTTTATTTAAGGTCCACTCAGAATTACTATGACTGTAAAGCACAATGGGTATCTATGTAAAGACTGATCATTATTCCAGGGGTTAGGCTCAAATGATATTTGTGGGACAATGGCAGTGACACTAAGGATGGAGGTAGACCACAGGTTTTGGAGCCACCTAAGAACTGTTGTCAGCCAGCAGAACTCCACAGCCTGCTTCAGAGCCCTTGGAAGGAACTTCTAGAGATAAAGCAACTTACTCTTACACTCAAATATTTCCTGAATGCCTCCCATGACCCAGGAGCTAGATTCGACAATGAGAACTAAGCTTTAGTGGAGCTGTCCAGAGGTGTGGATTTCCTTGATGCCACTGGGGAATCTGGAAATAAAAGTACCTGGAACATGACATTTAAGCTTCTGCCATGGATACCAAGTTTCAAAAGTTGCTGGAAATAAAATCAGGCAGCATCAGAATGACCCTGGGCACCCTACCCAGGAGGTGACTCAGACAGTAGGACAGGTAGTGGGAGAGCCTCATCAACCCCGTGCAAAAACCATTTAGGCCTTGTGGGATCTGTCAGTTCAATGAGGATTTCAGACCAGAGGGTGAGCCTAGAACATCAGTAGGTAAAGCAAGGAACAGAAAGAGGCAATTGCCCAGAGATACCTTTTCTTATTTCAACCTTTTTTTGTGATTATGGTAAAACCTGAAAGGGTGGAGTCAAGATTTAGCCACACATTAGCTGTGAAACTTTGGAGACAGATGTCACTTAGCCCCTCTGAAGACTTGTCTTAGTTTAGATGGCATGGTCCACACAAGGACCTTGCTGCCATTTTCTATATGCTACAAGGTTGCATCTGACTCCTTGTGGGGGTCATCTGGATCCAAGTTTGTTGGAGAACCTGATATCAGATTTTCCCACCCAATATTCACCCCAGATTTTATGTCTCAAATATCATGCAAGTCTTTGTTTCTTTTCAATTAGAGAAAATGGAGGCAGGCCAGCCTGCAATGACATGCCAATGACATGGAGATGATACATACATGGAAGCACTTCGAGAAGTAGAGTTCAAAACTAGAATGAGCTCTCCACCCCACCCATCTCCAGAAGGGCTCAATACTCTAGGATATCCAAATTACAATCAGTGTTGCATGTGATCTCAAGTTTTGATGTTGCATAGGCAGGCTGGCCTCTACTGCAGGGTCCAAAATGAACCAGCTGGGTAAGGCCACAGACTCAAAGGAAGGGACATTGCCCACCTCCTCAGCTTGCTGTGCCCTGTGTGCTCGGCTCTCCTTCTGTTAAGGCACTTCCCATACTGTGCTGTTACTCTCTTCTACGTTCAGGCCCAGGCTTCAGCAGCCCTGCCTCCGCATTCCCTGGTGGGTACTGGAGCATCCAAAGGGCTCTGCAAGAAATGGGGCCTTGGAATCAGGCACTTCCAACTGGATTTGAACTCTGGTTTTGATTCTTTTTTTTTTCCTTTGCCCAGGGAAGAATGCAATGGCTCTATCTCGGCTCAATACAACTTTTGCCTCCCAGGTTTAAGTGCTTCTCCTGCCTCAGCCTCCCCAGTGGCTGGGATTACAGCCATGCACCACCATGCGCAGCTAATTTTTTTTTTATAGAGATGGAGCTTCTCCACATTGATCAGGCTGGTCTTGAACTCCTGACCTCAGGTGATCTGTTAGCCTTGGCCATCCAAAATGCTAGAATTACAGGTGTGCCTGGCTGGGATCTGATTCTTATGGGTCCTATGACCTTGAGCAGATTACTAAACCTCTCTGAATTCCAACTTTCTCATCTGTAAAATGGTGACGACCCCTGTCTCAACACATTAGCACAGATGTGACCTTGTAGCATATGGAAACTGGCAGCAAGGTCCTCAGCACAGGATAGGGGCTCAGATTGTTTTCCTCACCAGCAGCTGGGAAGAGATTGGGACAGGAAAGCTCTGGGGCCGAGTTCCCCAGGATGCCATTCTCCTCTCTGAACACCAGCACAGCTCTCTCCACAGAGCCTCATGTCTGGTGACCATCCCCAAATCGCAAGGATTCCAGGTCAGTTTGAAAATTGCCCCACCTACTGGGAATACAGACATTAGCATCATCCACAGTCTCTCAACAGCTGTGCTTAGAACTGTGTTCTCAAACTTCTAAGACTCCATGCCCTTTGAGCATATAATCAACAAATGCCTTTGAACACCTGCTATGTGCCAAGTACTATCATAGGTGCTAGAAATACACAAAAAGAAACATTGCAGTGTTGAATAATGAGAACACATGGGCACAGGGAGGGGAACATCACACACTGGGGTAGAATGGGGGGTGGGGAGCTAGGGGAGGGACGGCAGGGGGCAGGGAGGTTGGGGAGGGATAACACTGGGAGAAATGCCCTATGTAGGTGACAGGGGAATGGAGACAGCAAACCACCATGGCATGTGTGTACCTGTGCAACAATCCTGCAAGATCTGCACATGTATCCTGGAACTTAAAGTACAATAAAAAAAAAGAAACATTCCTTCCAGAGATTACGTGGGTATGGATAGGAAGTAAACAAAAAAGTAAAATTAAAACTAGAAAATAACTAATGTGTTTCATTTGAAAATAACAAGGGCTTTGAGAAGAAAGGAGTGGAGAGGAGTAAGAAGGCTAGGGTGGGGTGCACACTCCCAAATCTCAAAGAGGTCATGTGAGAAGGCCTCCCTAGAAGGTGATATTTAAGCAAAGACTAAAAGGAGATGAGGGAGAAAAATCATGTGAACACTAGGAGAAGTGCATTTTGGGCAGAGAAAAGAGCAGATGCACAGGCCCTAAAGCAGCAGCTTGCCTGTTGTGAACAACAGGTGAGGTACCCACTGCCCACACCCTCTTCAAGGGAGAGCTCCCTGCCTAGTCACTGGAGCATCAAGGTTAGCAGACGTTCTCCAGCTGTCAGCTCTCTCAGGATCAGCTTCTGCCACAGACAGCACCCTCCTTCCTGGGGCTGCCCACAGTCTGTGCTTGAGCAATGTGGGGCTTCAAAGATCTGGCTATTTGAGCCTGATGTGGAATATTCTGATGGACAGTTCCCATTCCAGAATGTCTGCTGGGCTTGAATGGCAATAGAGCTGCTTCTTCTAGTCCTGCTTCCTCCCTGTCCCTGAGGGAGTTGGTCCTTAAGAAATGTCTTTCACCTGCAAAACTTGGGTTTGCTCTTAGAGTAGAAATTGGATATAAGAGAGAAGTGGATGATTTCAAGGGTTCTGGTCTCTGAGCAACTATAAGGATGGAGGTGGCATTTAAGAAGACGGGGATGAGAGCCAGTAGAGCAGGTTGGAGGCTTGGGGCAGGCTTGGCTTGTGATGTCTGGTGGGCATGCAAGGAGAGCTGGTGCATAGGCCTATACCTATGCACAAGGGGCCCTTAGCTACACAAGTCCGGAATTCTGGGGAGATGTCCAAGCCAGAGACACAGGCTCAGGGTCATCTGCATAAAGAAGTTGTGCTGATTATTTTCCTATTGGCTCCAGCCTACCCTGGTCTTACTTACCCTGCTCTGTACCATATCACTGGAAGCCGGCCAAACTCTTCCCAAACTCTCCTGCCTCCAACACCACCTTTTTGGAATTTGAGGGTATGCATCCCTACCCTAGCTTTCTTGTTCCTCTTCACTACTTTCTTTCCAAAGAACTTGCTACCTTTAAATGAAATGCGTTAGTTGCTTTCTGGTTTTTGTTTCGTTCTGTTTTTGTTTTTGCTTTTGCTTTGCCTCCAGTAGGACCTGCCATTATAAGACTACCTGAGGTAAATAAGACACCATTCTGGTTTAAGTACTGGCCATGGTGGCGCCTCTTTAGCAGCTCCAGGACAAGATTCAGAGAGTTGGAAGAGAGGCGCCTTCCCCATCTTCTTTCCAACACCCTAAATTCCCTGCAGTAAAGACGTCCCAGCATAAAACACTACTACAGTTTAATGTGTCCCTCCAAAATTCATGTCCTAATCCCCAATGCAAAAATATTAAGAAGTAGAGCCTTTAGGCAGTGATTAGGTAAATGGGATTACTGCTTTCATAAAAGGGATTAGGACACTGACATCATCCCTTTTGCTCCCTCACCAATATGAGGACACAGCAAGAAGGTACCATCTTGGAAGCAAAGCGTAAGTCTTCATTGGACACTGGATCTGCTGGCACCTTGATCTTGGACTTTCTCTAGAACAGTGAGAAGTAAATGTTTATCATTTAGAAATTACCCAAACTGAAGTGTTTTGTTTTAGCAGCCCCAATGAACTAAGATAAGTGCCTAGAGCAGTTTCTGTTTTATTGGCTGCATGCTAATACAAGGGTGGTCAGTAAAACCATGTGATAATCTGCCACTGCCCATCACACTATTTTGATGTAACATGTTTAGTAATTGGTTTCCCTTCTGCATTTAGCCCTACTTTTCAAACTAGAAACAAGGAGATTAGCTAAAGGTATCTTCTGAAGGAAAGGAGCTTGGGTGAGAAATGTGGAGGGAAACTGGGAGGCTGAGCTTAGACACAATAGGTTCCTGCAGCAGACAGCATTTTCCAAAGATGGCTGAAACAATGTCTTTATCCCACATGTTCTTCTGTGGTATGACCTTGCCTTACCCCCTTCAAGATCTGGAGTCCTCTTTCTCCATCCCATTTCATGTAGGCAGACTCTGTGACTGTTCTGATCAGTGGAATATGGTGGAATTCTTTTATATTCTGGTCTTTTTGCTTCTATTTCTTCCCTCTTAGAATCTAACCACTTTGTAAAACTCACAAATACCCTGGTGATTGAGACTACCAGATAATGAGCAGCCCAAGTCACCTGGAGAGAGGCCAAGCATCACTGAAGCACCAGCCAGGTAAGGAGGAAAAGCGTCTTGGATATCCCACCCAGCAGAGCCTTTGGGAGACGCTGTCCTACTGCCATCAAACTGCAAGTGCATAAGACCCCAAGGTGCACCACCGCAATGAGCCAAATCAACCTGCAGAAACATGAGAAATGGTGGTGCATTTTTCGATTTATGCCAGTGAGTTTTGAAGTGCTTTGATATGCAGTAAGAGGTAGCCAGAAGAGATCATGTCTCAGGATACTCTTCACAGCTCCAGCATTGTTCTGGTCTAATTTCCCTGAATTGCTGATGAAACAAATGACAACCAGTTGGGAGATTATGAGTATCACTGGAAATTAATGAAAAATTGTAGATGTTTCAGCTAGTTGAGTGGAGCCCTAAGGAATCAAATCAAAAATGAAGAATGGGCGCAGCTGGCAGGAACAGTAACAGCAGCAGAAGGGAGCAAACATTCCAGGAAATAGGGTCAACTGCCAGTGGCTCACTAGCACCAAAGCAGCCAGTTGCAAGCCCTCAGTTCACAGCCCACAGCCCACCTGCATGCAAGCATCCTATCTGCAAGCATTCAGCCTAAGCAACCTAAAGTCATAAAACTCCCCTCCAACCCCTGCTTCTTTGCAGACAGCCTTCCCTCTACTGTATTGTCCATTGCTCCCTTGCAAAGTATCTCTCTCTTTCTCTAAATAAGTCTGCCTTTCTAAATTCATTATTGTCTTGATAAATACCTTTATCACCATGCGCTGGCCTCATACAGCCTTTAATCACGTCAAGTAGCATCCCCAAAGATATTTAACCTGAGGAAACAACTGCCACAAGGTGGCGCCACATTGCAGCAAGGGAACAGATGGATTTGTCTCGCAAGTAGTCCCCAGAATTGCTCACAGGCCAGCTGCAGGTGCTCACCAGGTCGTTTTATTAACCTCCTAATAACACAATTCTACATTTTATACTAATGAAGTTTGCGACCCAATTTATTGCCTAATTTGGGATTTTAAATACTAAACCACTGAGACTAGAAAAGATCCCTAAGGAGGTAGATATTGATTAAGGAAAGAGAAGGGCCTTCAGCACATGCTAATTATTTGAGCAGGGTTTCTTGATCTTGGCATTGTGGACATTATGAGCTGAATAATTCTGTGTTACGGGGACTGTCCTGGGCATTAGCAGCATCTCTAGCCTCTCCCCTCTAGATGCTAGTAGCAACACCTTCAAACACAACCAGACATCTCCAGACATTGCCAAATGCCCCCTGAGGAGCAAAACCACTCATGGTGGAGAAGCAATAATTCAGAGGACAGAGGATTAAGCAAAATCAGCAGCCAAAGCAGAGGAAACCAGAGAGTGGAGATAGTGGAGCCAAGGGAGGAAAGGTCCCAAGGAAGAGAGAGTGATCAATTACATCCAACAGCAAGTGCCTAAAGGTAGGATGGCTGTACATCTGCTTTCCTAAAACAGTTCCAATTTATATCTATTGTCCAGGTACAACTAATATGCTTCCTTTCATTTATTAGGAGTGTTGCAGTTTGGATCATTTATGTGTTCACATGAGTCAAATAAGAGGAGAGCAGAGACAGACAGCACTGGGTTTGGCTGGCCACATGGAGGCTGCTGATGACCTCAGCAAGGGTAATTTAGGTGCAGTGGTGGAGACTATAGCCACATTGGCATGTACTTTGGGAGTGACTTTAAAATAGAATAGGAAAAATTACAGAAAGTGGGTCTCTATAACACTTTCCATGGATTTTGCTATAATTAGGGATAGAGCAACATGGAAGAGAGATGGAGAGGGCGGTGAAGATGGGAGGGACAGCTGCATGATTCGTGCCAGTATAACTGGTCCGCTGGAGAGGAACCGTGATGATGCAGGAGCTTGAGGGGACTTACTGAAGGCAGACACATTCTGAGTAGGTGGGGAATACAGGATGAGTGCATAAGTAAAAAGGACTTGGATGGGGCATAGTCAGCTCACCCCAAGTGACAGTAGGAAAGGCCAAGGGTGGGGGTGCCATGCTGCCAGATGGGCAGAGTGGTGGCAGCACATGGGATTTGTTTCTGGTTGCTTCTGTGTTTCAAGTGAAATAGGAAACAAGGTCATCAGCTGAAAGCAACATGGAGGTGTTGGAGGTTAGCAGGGAGAGGTGTGAGATACTCACCTAGGGACCCAGAGGACTGAAGGAACTAAGTAAAATGCATAATGTGTTTCCAGGCAGCACTGGGGCATATGCAAGTCTGGAGACTGGAAAAGCATATTGACATGTAATACCGTGTGTGTGTGTGTGTGTGTGTGTGTGTGTGTGTGTGTATTTTTCCAACCTCCATCAGCCATGCTGTGCAGGTGCTGGCACAGAGCAGGGATAAGACTGGACTCAACCAGGGCTGTGGTTTTGCCACACAAGGACAAAAAAGTAAAAGGGACAGAAGTGTTGACAGTGGCTGTGGGGGAGTGATTCCAACAGGCCTTGGAATGTCATCTGGGTAATAAAGGAATGAGAGCCCTAGTGAGGTGAAGAATGGCGAAAGGCAGATGACTTAATAGATTGCATAAATCAAAGGATTTTTTGACTTGGGATAAGAATAAAGAAGTTGGAAGGTGAGGTTACAGATTAGGATATTACAAACTAGAATTAAGGAGGGGCTGGAGTTATTGGTAATGATCGGACAGTAAGTGGCTAAGTTAGGGAATCATTACAAGGTCATTGGAGGGAAGAAAGTTAAAGACCTGAGAGGCTGCTCTCTTAGAAGGAATGTTTATGTGTGTATTGAACCATCAAGGATTGCGACAGGATTCTATTGGAGTAAATGACAGTGACCCTCCAAGAAATGAAGAGGAGGAACAGGAAGGTAGTGAACGACTGCCTGAAGAGGGAACACTAGAGGGCGGTGGGGATTGGAGCTACAGCAGTGAATTGGAGGAGGAAGAATAATCTGGAAGCATCAAGGAAAACCTTATTCCATCCCTGGGCCCTGTGGCATAGGAGTTGAGGGAGGAAAAAAGAAAGCCACCCCTGGAAAGGACTAAGATAAAGCAGTACCCTCCAGCAGAGCCAGTTTTCAATAAGGGCAAGTGGGCGAAGAGAAAGGTTAGAGAAGGGATACAGAAACATGCTGAGGATGAACCAAGCATTCCAGATTCCAGATACATCCTGGAAGAGCCCCTGGAGATGGAGAGGAGTGGATGGAATTGGAGTAGAAGATGCAAAAAGCCATATTAAAATTACAGTGTGAGAGATAAGGATGGCCAGGGTTTTTGATGCAAATAAGGATAAAGAGAATAATGAATTTCACCCTCATTTTCAAAGACAGAGAGCAGCAGCAAGGTTGCAAGTCTGAGGAAAATCATACTCCGTCCTCCTCCAACATAACACACACATTTATAAAAACAATACACAGACTTATGGCCAATAAACCTCAAAACTGAGAAGGATTATTAAATTTAAATGTCCACTGCTGCATGAAATCTCTGTGGGTCCTGTCCTCCCTTCCCCAACCTCCTCTACTTAGGCTGGGGTACAGCAGGGATTCTCTCACCTCTCAGAGTGGAGCCAGTGTTGGCTTCATTGAAGGCTCCAGAGACGTACACAGGACAAACATTCCTGGACCAGGGCACACAGAGTGAGGCCCCAATGTATACTTTTAATTGCATGAAGAATGAATGAGCCTCCAATATGGGCTGGGACAGAGAAGAGGATTCAAGGGACCCAGGAGGGTTTGGGTGAAACATACCAGGAGCGGCAGCACAGACTCCTCGGGAAGGTGGCCAGGATTTAGCCACATTGACCAACATGGTAATCTGGAGAATTTCCTAGCTTGAGCTTCTGGAATAAAGCAGATTTCTGGATTATCTGGTAACAGGTAACAGGGCCAAGTTCATCCATAGCCACCTGCAGTGTTAGCACTTTAAGCTGAGTTCCTTATGTGATGCTGTCACTGCCCTGTCAGTGTGAGAAGGTCCTTGGCTGAAGCACTGAAGAGTTTGGGTAAGTGACTTCACCTGAGCCTCTATCTCTTGCTCCCGTAAGTCAGGGCTCATTGTGCCTCCTGGCAGGTTTGACTTCAGGGTTAACAGAAAAAATGAAGGCACAAGTGCCGTGTGAACTCTAAAACTCCAGACCAGTAATTTTCAAAGTGCCATCCACCAGTCCAGCACATCAGCATCACTGGAAGCTTGTTTGAAATGCAAATCATCAGGTCTTCCAGAGGTATGCATGAATTAGAAACTCTGGGAATGTGGCCCTGCAATCTCTGACAACAGGTTTTCCAGGTGATTTTGATGGAAGTTAAAGCCTGAGAAACTGCTTGATATAAGTGGATGTTAACTCAAGCTGCTCCTCAGAATCACCTATAGCACGTGTTCATCTGAATCCCTGAGAATGGAGCCTCAGGATTGCTATTTCTTAAAGTTCTCCTGGTGATCCTGAGATGGGGTGTGGGGACAGAGATACAAGGTGCTACCCGGTGTGAGGAATTGTTAGAAGGCAGACTTGGCTGTCATCTAGGATGCTTAAAGGGCACAGACCCTAGGATTCTGCCTCCTACCTCTGAATCAGACTTTCCTAGAATGGGATTGCTGCCCAATGGCAGGGCCCCTGGGTGACTCTGATGTGCAGCCTGGGCTGGGGACCACCAGAGGATTATCTTCCAATGACCAAGTTGACAAACTTGCTTAAGACTCTGAGTTTCACACTTGATTTTCTAGCCCCTGTCCTTTGATGGACCACCTGCCCCCTTCCCTCCTAACCAGCAGCACAGTCAGTGGAAGCATTAACATGGCCTCTGCTTGGCTGAATGCAACAGGTGAAAGTGTGACAATAGGTATGCAGGGCTGCCTGCCATCTATTAATAGACACAGATTTTAAAGATCCAAGGGCAAGAGACAAGAAAAAATTAAAAATAGCCAATATTGACCCAGTAATGGCATTTTAAAAACCCACCAATATATTAAGATGCTTTTTGAAAAATATCTAGAGCAATCATGTACAAGTGTTTAATTATTAATAAAAGCTGATATTTGTTGAGTACTTCCTGTGGGCCTGGCACTAGGCTAATTATATTTTTTGGAATTGGGTCAAAGGCTCCCTGTCATAATTATGTGAAGATATGTAATTATTAGCTCCATGGTACAGATTAAGAAGAGGTTACATAAATAAGAAGAAGTGATGCTCAAATTAGTAACCAGAGCCCATGCTCTTAAACACCATGCCATTATTTGTGGATGCTTACATAGGTAGCAAAAGTCAAAGGCTAGATTGGCTAGATATGCTCATCCACATTAAACAACTTAGAGAAAATATACAAAGCATTTGTTGTTCCACACTAGATAACAGATAACACAAGACAGTGATGTAAAAGTGAGGAAATAAAGGGAATCTTAGAAGTTTACTATGGGGCATAGTAAGGGCATAGCTGCAGCACAAGGAAGCAGAACCCAGCAGAGACTGGTATTCATCTGAGCTGAAGAAAATCCAAGTTGAAAATTTAGGAACCCTAACACAGATAGATATGTAGGCAAGAGTATCAGAAAGGAGACAGTTTCAGGGTAAAAGGGAGTGAGAGAGAGAGAGAGAGAGAGAGAGAGAGAGAGAGAGAGAGAGAGCTCCAGAGACCTGCAGAAGATTCTCATGAAGTCATTAGCTGATTACAGATCAGTGTATACATGTGAGGATATTACTCAATATGTGGAAAAGAACAGAAGGAATGAAGTTCACCCAAGTACAGGAATCATCTGTGTTTCCACCAACCAGAGTGGAACAACCTTGTAATACATATGTAGTAGCATATTCAGATGAATATTTCCTCAATAATAAGTTCAAATTAACTAAGACTAAAGCCTTCCCACTTTGTTTGCACCTGCCTAACAAAGCTTTGAGGGAAGCCTCAAAATAATGAAACTGTGTCCAAGTAACTTAACTGTGTCCCAGAACAAAACTCAAGAATATTTTAAGAAATAATAAAATATTATCAAACCCAACACGGTTAAATTCACAATGGCTGGAATCCAATAAAAAATTGTCAGGCAAGAAAATATTATTCATGATGAAGAGAAAAAGCCATTCATAAAAATAGGCCTAGAAAGTATACATGTGATACAATTAGCAGACATTAAATGGTTATGATTTAATTTATATATTAAATAAGGTAGATAAGAGCATAAACACATTAAAGAGAGATGGGAAAGTCCCACTGCTCACACAGGGCTACGAGCAGTGCCTATTTTCACCAGTCAGGTGGGAAAACTTTATATTTCATGGAGCATTGGTAGAGTACACAGAGTCTTGCCTTAGTAGAGGAATAAATGCTGACTGTTCCCACCTAACCCATCTTAAAAGAAAACCTGAAAGGATCAAACTGTATTCAAATAACTAATTACATCCTAGCACACAGCTCAAGACTAGTTATAGAAACACAAAATATTAATATCTAAACACACAAAAATAATATCTAGCACCCAACAAGGTAAAATTCACAATGTCTAGAATTCAACTGAAATTTTCCAGGCCATCAAAGAAACAGTAAAATACAATCCATAAAGAGGAGATAAATTAACTCTTCAAAATTGACCTAAACTTGCAACAATACTATAATCAACAGAAAAGGACAGTTTACTCCATAAAGTGAGAGGAGAAATTGAACATATTAAGTAGAGATGTATAAGAAACAAGAAGACTGAAAATGAACTTTTAGAGTTGAAAGCTATAATGTTTAAGATAAATATACACTGAGTGGGATTAATAGCAGATTACACATTCATAAAATTAAAAAATTTATAAAAGGATCCAAGATGGCTCAATAGGAACAGCTCTGGATTGCAGTTCCCAGCAAAAATGCAGAGGATGAGTGATCACCGCATTTCCAAACAAATTTTTACTGCCCACAGACCAGGAGATTCCCAGATGGAAAAGCACCACGAGTCTCCAGCATGGCTGTTTCAGCCAGTGCAGCAGATCTCCACACAAAAACACAAATCTGGGCACTGTTTCAACTGGCAACTGGAACGC